TAATGATTGGAATTACTTATAATGTTTTTTTTAACAGTATAATTGTATTTAGTGACATTATTATTATTCTAAATGTTTACACGTTATCGGTTATTATGGTTTTAACTAAACTAACAAGATATTCAAAAAATTCTCATTAACTCGTGAGTTAATCGTGACAGTAACTCGACTAATGTAACTAAGGTAACTCGACTGGGTAAATCTTCCATAAAAAAAAAAGATCATGAAAATCAAGCGTCCAAAATAATTGACAAAAAATATAAACTGTTTAAAAAAAAACTCATTACTTTCAAGTAATCCGTTCCGGCTTAGTTTCATTTTCGCGTTTATTCGCTTCAAAAAGCCAACACTGCAAAACGTTTATTAGATATTTACTCTGCTTATTTTTCTATAAAACTCAATTTGGCCGTAGCAGTTGAAATTCGAAAACTTTTATACGAAATTCGAATAATTGTAAATAATACATTTTTTTAGCAAACAAAAATCATCACGAAAATAATATTATAGTATGCTTTTATAAAACGGTGTACAAGTTTTGTCGCTGAGTATTTTGATACAGTGTTTATATTTTTTTTTTATAAAGTCAAACTTATAACTATAAATGGTAAACACCAAGTATAACTTTAAAGTATTTTCGATGATATGTATCCATTTGCTTGTTGTGGTTTTTAAAACGAATAAAATCATTTATTTTATTTTTATACCGGTTAATTCCTTATTAATTATTTGCAGCATAATTTTCAGTTATATATTAATATAATTTTAAATTTAAAGTACTTCAGACAATATTATATAAATGTATAATTGCTAAAAATGATGTTATAAAATCTACTAAAAAAATTACTATATAAATAGGTCTATGCAATATTATAAGAATTTCAATGTTCTCAAGCGGCGTTTATAATGGATAAAAACGGAAACGCAGCGCATTGCATTGGAATTGTAATGATATTCTCAAAACGACGAAAACAGAAAATAACAAACAATTTTGGAAAATTTCAAGCTAATTTAAAATCGCTATGCCGAACATATATTTTTATAGTGACAGTTTTTCGTTTGACTGTTCATATTATGCTTTATTATATTATAATATTATTGCTGGTCTAAATCACACGGCATACCCATCGTTTCATTTAACTACTCAAAACCGACCGTACAATAAATTAGGTATCAGAAACTTTTTAGTGACAAGTAAAAATTCCATTCAGGAAGAGAAAAACAACGTCAAACGCAAATTACACTGGCAGGAAGTGTTATGCGGATAAAAATTTTCCACCGTCGACAACCTATTTTCACTGTAATCTTTACGGTATATGTATATATTGTGCATATTATAAATTTTGTCTACATTTACATTGTATTATTGTTTTCGGATGATAAATAACAGCGAAAGGAAAACAGTATTCGCTAATTGGATTCACCGACATTCTTGCGAAATCAGTAATTGGTGTCAATCTAAACTATGCAAAACACCAGCAACACTCTCTACGAAGCTGTTTGATTGTCATTGAGTAGACGTTTAACAGTGCGTTTGAATCGAAATCGATATCAAATTTATATCTATATAAAATATGGTAATCGATATGAACACCATGGCCCTTGTTGTTATCTAATTAAGTTTCTACATGTTGTATATTGGATTATACAGTTGAACAGCATATCCAGGGCACGACGGCCCGAAGCAGGCAAAATTCGTTTGCGAATTACAACTCATTCGGACGTGCTAATGGACGTATAAAATAGAATTCGGCATCAACTGTGTAATATACTTTTTCCAGCAGAACCTTGGCTGTCGTGATGCATTGTGATTAATTAGGATCATTTCCCATTGGAGCAGCGGCTGCGTTGATCCCTTCCGTGCGATATAACACAAACCGGGGCCGGTTGACAGACAACAGCGTAATCTCGTTAAAACAGTCGGAAATAAAAAATATTCTCTTCCGTGCCCAACCTTGTAGGTTCTCTGTACACATTGTCCCGTCACCTACAGCTGTTCTCCTCTGTATTTATCGTCGCCTCTTCCTGCACTTATACTTCTTAAGTTCTCGGGCTAAAGCACTTTGCCGGTTGTCAAATACCTCGTTTTTAAGCAATTAACGCGCGAAAACAGCTGTTATTATGGTTTTGGTTTTCCGATTTTGATTCGACAGTACAATGAAAAAGGTTGAAATTGACAATGCGTTCAATATAAGACAAGAGGACGCGTTCGGGCTATGAAAAAATGTAAAAACTTTAAACGGGACGCACTCGGGAAACTCCCATAATTATATTTTGTACTCATCGAACAAGAAACTAACAATACTACAAACAAAGTTGTGCATTCTTCTAATAAAACATTATCTAAATAATCATCTCAATAGTATAATGAAAATTATTCGAATAATTTGCAAGTGTGGTTTTCGAGTATTTTTGTTTAAAACACAATTTAGTGTAAATATAATATAAATTACTTATAAAGTATATAAATACAAATCTATGATGGTATGATTATTTATTCTTTATTCGAATAAGTTTTTATTAGTTACAGTTATTTTTTTACAGTTAACATGATCAGATACTGTAAAGTTTAATTTTTATTAGTATCTTCTATTTACTATTTACTTGACCACATGCGTAGTATAAGTAATGCCTATGATAACAGCTAACGAAGATTAACATTACATAATATTTATTCAAAACTGGTTATCGACCAAACAAAATTGTCAGAAAATTATTCTTAACTAAACAGAGAGAGAGAGAGAGATTCTTAACTTAAAAAGTTATTAAAAAATATCTACGTTACCATTTTAGTTTTAAAATTTGTTTAAGCTCAAAAGTTACCAATAATAATAAAAGATTGAATATGTAATTAGCATAAGCAAAAATGTTTTCAATTTTATAAAAACTACAAAATATAAATTATTTCGAGAAAAAAACTGCAGAGCGTTAGAATCACCCGGTATTCTCTTTTCACGGGACACAAGGTATTGTAGTATATTTTTGCTATTATAACTTCTTTTCAATCCCCCCCGAGGACGTCGCATATTGTCAGCAGAAATGATCGAAATTGAAAAACTCCAAGTCACCACGAAAATCCCATCGTGTACCTACCGAATAATAACCGTGCAATACTATTTTACTCCAATACGTTAAGTTTACACGGTCGCTGAACTTACATATATATATATATAGTGGAGCTTGGCAGTTAGTAATAGCGATCGAGTACCTCGAGTTGTACAGGCAGTTGCCGTTTCAATAGGGTCGAAAATAAATTACAAAAATCGTTTAAAGGTATTGGGTTTATCGACCGTGGCGAGGAGGTGCTTTTGGTGTAATGCCACTAGTCAGCTTAATGGGCCTACCGATTCAACTGAATTGCGACAATGTCGCGGACACTCAAATAGCTTTAGCGAAAGAAAATAAGTATGACACTATATACAGTAACAGTATGTCTCTCCGTGGGTAACACCATTTAAGCCGTCTTATGTGAGTTCGCCCTAATGAATGGTGTAATTCAGTCACCAGTTGTCTGCGTATAAGCTTATTGACCGGACCTGACCAATGGGAGTGTATGAAATTTCGCACAGTCTCGGCCACGTCTAGAATTATTTTACCCGGTCTCTAAGTAATTGAATATTATCTCAGCGCACATAATATGGTTAAGGTCGTTAGGGTTTGGGGTTTACGAAACGATGATTTTTGGAATTTTACAGCCCACGCTTCTTGAAAAGTTTACACTGTGTATTACAGACCTTTATACTATAGAGCGGTTCTCCGGCCCGAGTCTGTGTCAGACGGCAGTGTGATTAAGTTGAAAATTATAAATTAAACTACTGTGGTTTTAAAAGAAAAATTCTTAAAAAAAATTAAGTCGTTCGGTGTAGGACTTTTTGATTAGCGATAACATATAAAATATTTCGAGGTAAAAAAAAAATTAATTTTAGTTTTTTTAACTAATTATCTAAATAATAGTATACAACATAGTTTTAATTTCTGATTTAACCACCAACCAAAGTGTTGACTTTAAAAAATAGAATAGTCTTATCATATAGGTGTTTTTATTTCAGATAAAACAATTTTAGGAAACCTATTTTAAAAAATATGTATAAGGCACGGTGTAGCGATTAATGTTATTACTGTTTTTTTTTTAATTCAAACGAACTCGAGTTCAGCTAGAAAGTTTCAATCGGGATTATAAATTATAATATAAATATGTATGATGTGACGTATATTATGTTAATGTAAAATGAACAAGTAGACAAGTCGACTACATGAGCCTGAAGATAAACAATAAGTAATAAGTTCTTAAGGCATTTTCAAAATTTCCAAAAAACAAAATTGGCTTCATAATAACCAAAATAAATCGGTTAAAAATGTAAAAATTAAATATTTTTCTGTCAAAAGACGATTTTAATGTTAAATAGTTTGTCACTAAATAAAGCCATGTCCATGACCTGAAAGCTTAGGCGAGTGTTTAAATCTAAAAAGTGTATTTAATTATAAAATGATGTGGAAAACGGCCATGCTTTACATAATTACTGAGTTGTTGTCGTCAATAAAATTGTTATTTATGGCGAGTGTGTTTTGTATCTTTAAGTTATATTATACAGCCCGCCCTCTTAACGGTTTCTTAAATTCCATAAAATATTTGTATCATACCTAGTATAAAGATTAAAATGTAGTTGATAAATATACAATTACAACTAATGTATAGTCAGTCAATACAGATGACCATTCAGTCATATATAGAAATTTGTTTAAAAGGCTTATTTCTTTCATAAAAATTACCGATTTTGTGTCTTAAACGGTTTAAACAATAAATAGTTACTGTTCGTAATATTTAATTAACAACTTAATGTTTGTTCATAACACCTTTGTCCTGTGGTCTTACTTAAAATAATGTAATTCTGTTGAACGCACAGAAGTCCATAAACTTAAGCCAATGCAAATAATTTACGGAGGAGGATAACGTCGTATACTTATACTTTGATTTTTTAACTTTTTTGTGTGTGTGTTAACAGTATGTTCCAGTGGCGGCGAGCACATTAAGTCTGATGACGCAGTCGATTGACCGTTATGCGTCTATCCAGCACCCGCGACACAACCGACTGCACCGGAACAAGCACGTGGCGTATCTGGTGTCCGGCGTGGTAACCGCGTGGACGGTGGCCGTGGCCGTATCCGTGCCGCGGTTCGTGCGGCCGGCGTACCGGCTGTTGGCCGACATGCGGTTGACGCGGTACTACGAAACGGCGTACGTAGTCATCGTGTTCGTCGTACCGTGGGCCGCAGTGGCCTTCAGCCAGCGGGCCGTCAGCAGGACGCTGTATATAACTTCGCTAAAGGCGGCCGCGGCCCGTGGCCAGCTGCCTCTGCCTATGCCACTCATGACGGCCGAATCAAAGCAAGTCATTCTGGTGGCGTCCATACAAAAGAGCACTACGGGCCAGTCAAAGGTAATTATTGAAAACATTTTTCACCAAAAGCATTTACCGAGTGTACATGTATTCGTTACATTGGAAAGTATCTTGATGCCATTGTGTTCACTAAAAACTATGGATCAAATACCAGGAGTTCAGTTAGTTAGACTCGTAACCGGAATACTATTATGTAAATCTATATTAGAATTGTTGTTTGAATTGTAAAGATTAATGGAGTGTTTTAATATATTATGTTATTGTCATAAGCAAAACTTGATTCTTGTTCGAAGCTTTTCATAATATGCCATGTAGGCAAACAGTAAACTGATGTTGACATTATATTATTGCCTGTGGATGTTTCCTGCTTCCGACAAACAGTTAACGATACATCTAATCGCAATTTGTTTGTTCTTGTGACATTAAATGGTTTTAAACGATGGCTACAAACAACGTGCATTAATAACTACAATAAAAATTCGGTAAATTATTATAAGTGTTAGGCAAGGTCCTTCGATAATATTAATGGACATTCGGTTACTTGTATATTTTTCTTGACGTATATTATGGTATAATTTTTGTATAATCACACTATGTAGTGATGCTAGAAAAGTCAACTGACCATCTATGAATACACTTATGGCTATTGGCTATTTTGTTAGTCAATATAGTGTTCTAATTTTGTTTTCGTCGTGATATCAATCGTATTATAAATGTATTAAACGCGTACTAATTTAATACACTTTGCACTAATAACGTTGCAGTTATTGCCCGAGGCATGGGGTCAAGGTTGTGATCCGTAGTAACCGGGGCCACCGCTAACGTCTCTATTAATAATAAAAATAAGAGTGGGTAATGAACATTACAAAAATCTCCGTCCTTACATTATCTTTAGTTATTTACTTAAAAACTGTACACTCGACACTTCTAACGGCCAATTCCCTCACATGACCGTTAGCAGGAGTAAAACAAAATGTGTAACTATCTGATAACCGAAAGCCGAGTTTATAAACTATTAGTTTTTTGGACAATGAATTATCTTTGGCAACGTTTATATGTATTTATTTCTCCATAATAGTAATATAATGATGGTATAGATCTCCCGAGTTGTGCTATTTTGAAATTTTACTGATAGAAATCTCTAATCCTGTTAAATTAAGTCTTATCAGCAAATATTATATTATGCTATTATCATTTTTTGAATATCTTACCTTAAACCGAAATCCAGAAGTTAATAATAAAATATGATTAATGTGGGAATATGTAAGAAAATATATTTTACAAATTTCCTAACTTAATCTGGTTTATTAGCTTTTTTTATGTCAGACGTTCTACACGTTTAAGAGGGCGTCTCACCGGTGATTTTCAGTGGTAAAAACATGTTTAAGCAGACTGAAAATAACTTGCTTAGTTTTGGTTTTAGAGTAAAAGCACCCACCCATTATAAAATTAAAATAAAACAATATTCCGGAGGGTAAGACGGTGCATTTTTAAAAAAAAAAATCATTTTTTGAAAAGTTACAGTCGTTTAAAAAAGTTAAAATAGTCGTTATTTCTAAACTATGTATTGAGCGTTATACTTAGAATAATGAAAACAACGCACCGTGTGCCCTCTGAAATATTGTTCTCTTTTAATTTTATAATGTGTGCTTTTACTCTTAATCCAAAATTAGGCGAGTTATTTTCAGTCTGCTTAAACAAGTTGAGATGAAAAAACATTTTTAAATCGCTTTCAAGGATGCTGTGATAGTCCAAAAAATAAATTAACTACCATATAGAGTCCTAGTTATTGAACTAATAATTACACATCACAGTTTAACCTTTAAATTAAGATTTTGTAAAAAATTGCCTATACTTTGCTCCTCAAAAAATGGGCGGTGCGACGCCTTCTTAATGAAAAAGTCTTTAACGGATTTAGATGAGTTAATTCGCAAGAAATAACTCTCATAAGTCATAAATATATAGCTTTTAACTAAAATTAATGTTTTTCTAATCAGCGCCATGGCTGTGTTTATCCGCAGGCGGCCAACGAAGGGGTGAAGACGGCCGTGCAGACTGCGACCACGGTTGCCACCAACCAAGCTGACACGAAAAAACCGGCTCCCGCGTGCCCGACGCCGACGGCGCGAAGCAGGAAGCGACTGGCCAAGGTGTTGTTGGCACTGGCCGGCGTATTCGTCGCCTGCTGGATGCCGTACGCCACTGCACTGATATATTCCAACTACCGGTGGCCAGTGCGGTTGGCTACGGTGGCCGCGTTGCTGTTCGGCCATACGCACTCGGTCGTTAACCCGTTGGCGTACTGGTGGCTCAACCGTCATACACTTCGTCCGTGTCCGTGCTGGAACCCGGAAGACGACGACGACGACGACGGCAACGACGTTTTCGTCGGATGCGGGTTCGGTTGCGGCGGCGGCCGCGGTGGTGGCCACAGCGACCGCGGTGACGACGCCCGACAACCGTACACGCCCACTCGACTCAACCGGTTGCTTTTTCGACCGGCCAACAATCAACGCAGTCGCCAACCGTCGTCCACTAACGAGGCCGCTCTGGGACCGTTCAACCCGAGATTCGCGACCCCCAAGAAACGACCTGAACAACTGCCCGTCAAAAATCCAGTCATGCTGTATTATTCTTGAACTGTCTTGAACGCCTGATTTGTATTAGTTATTTGTTGTTCTCTAACCAAATCTCAAATTATAATACAACGATACACGGTCCTTCAGTGATACCGCAGACGTTTGTTTAAATAACAATATATTATTTAACTTTCAGGTTTTCTTTCGTATTAAGTAATACCGTTAATTAAGTTTCAAAACTCATAACGTTGTTATTTATTATTATTGTACCTATATGTCCTACACGAATTGTAGATGCATTGTAGGCAATTAAAATGTATAAAAATCATTAAATTAAAATTAGATTAAAAATCTGACTATTAATAATACTCACAAATATTTGCTATCTTGTATGTTAGTGTTATATTAGTGTTACTGAAAATATTAATCCACTATCACCACTAGAACCGCCGATTTGGCTAAATAAATCCAACCACGCGCTTGAGTTTCAATGGCCAAGTGCACTGTGCAACCAAAAACATCTGTCGATTCGATTACTCATTTGCATGATTTAAAGGTACCTTGCTGATTGTAATATTTTCATTAAATCCAATTTTTTTATCAGTGAAAATAAAATGCATTGTATGCATCTCTTAATGTAAAAATTGTCAATTTCTGTTGAAACATCAATATTCCTCTCCCATACAATTTGATTATTTGTTATTAAGATTTTTTTTTATATTATGGTCTAATCGCTTAGTCCTTGAGCGCGCATGCATCTCATTCGGCGGTTCTATTCAAGCCAAGAACAATAAGGCTAGTCTTACCCTTAACGGGTCCCCAGTTACTTGACTTTGTAAACCATTTACTACCAAGTTAACTTGCAGTGGTTATAACCAATGTGTACAGACGACTGTGATCGAATATGTCGATGACGACTGAACATAGAAATCAGCCGTTAGCTACCGATTTAAAAAAACATAATATGCAATTGCGGAATCATTTAGTGTGTGCCTGCCGAAGTTTCACCATTTTCCTGTATTATAACGACCCGATAATAAGGTAATTATGTCATGATACAAATAAACAAGAAGCAAATTTTAAAATTAAAAAAATGAAAATTTAGTTTCTATTGACCTGGTTAATACATTAAGTATCCCATGAACATTTGAAGTTTTTATTTATTCGTACAGCATTATTTTTCGGTTAAAGCAATAATTAAAAAAAAAAGTAAAATACATGAAACATTTGAACAAATTTAATATATTTTTCCTTAAATGAATTCTCGCTTGTTACAAGTGAATGTGCATAAATGTTGTCAGAGAAACTATTCATAATCGTTTAAAGTAGAAAACCTATTCAAAGTTAACTTTTTGAGATACAACTGTTTAGAATGAACAATTGTATAAGCATTGATTTAAATTAAATGATCACACTATAATATGCACTAATATTTACAGGACAATTTCTCCCTAACAGTAGTAACGTACTCACTTTTAACTTAGTAAATTTTAGGAACATTTCTTTGTTTCTATGTTCGTGTCATAAATAGTTAAACAATAATTGTATCAAAAAATAATTACTAATCTTCAAACAAATAATTATTGCTTGAAACATCACTTTATAAGACATTTTTCTCTTATTGTGATATATTGAATATAATATAACATATTGTTATTAACGTGTTGATTATGCTATGAACTATTTGCTAGTGGCATTTGTTCTGTCGTTACCGTATCAACAATTTTACCATTTTTATCCGGATTGTTATTTCGTGTATAAATTTACTATGACTTGACCAGCTGCGCAATTGATAAAATAATTTTACGGCGGTCGCCATAGCGGAGTAGAAGGCATTTTATAAAAAGTATTTCATCCTTTACTGATGACTGGTACATGAATGAACTAATAATATTAACGATCAGATCATTATGATCTCCTTGTGTTCGTGTGGGCGAGTTAGTTAAACTGTAAGTACATTTTTAACTTGTAGAATTAAGTGGCTTTAAAAAATAAGGACTTTAAGAACCCTATGATGCGGCCGTGTTCCGTTGACGATTCCATCTTTTCAAACTAAATAATCGTCTTGTTAGCAACTATCTAGTATAACAATATTTGTCCGTATATTTATATTCTTTGAGCGTCTCTGGTCAAGTGTTAGGTTATAGAAAACCGTGATCAAATCGTCGGCTTTCAATATAAATAAAATATATCGTGTTTTAGAAATGTCCATTGATATTTAATTATTCTTGACCTCAGCACTGTTTTTTCAACAGGTGCCCTCTCAACTGAAAACCATTATTTTGTTCCTCGATAGAGTTTCACTTGTAACCGACGACTCATACATATTTATACATACCATTGTGATTATCTTTTCGACGTGATAAACTAATAAGATTCTCGTTAATATGATTTTTTTAATATTGTATTATGTTTAATGTACTATTTATATAACTATCAATGAAAATGATTATTATTATCACCATTTTGTTTAAATTTGTTATAGAACTATATAGTTTCTTCGTACATTGTTACTCGCTTTATAATATGACAGTTTGTAAAAAAAATAAAATAAAAAAGTAAAACAATAAACAAAATTTCTGCTGTGAAGCTAAAACAAAAAAAAAAACACATTTTTTTTCTGTTATCCATTTTGCCATTGGTCAAAATCCAAAATGTTGTCAAATTATTATATTTTGACTATGGCGTTATACATGTTAACAGTGGTTACGCTGTTATACTATGATGATATTTTATGTGCTTGTAATTATGACACTCTTGGGAGTTCATAATATGAAGAAATATCATCTATGCGACAACGTGTTGTTTCTCATTATATCTAAGTACTTATTCTAAACAGTAAACCGACACCTTAAAACGGCGACGACCATGAAATGTTACACGGTGAGTTAAAAAGTGAATTACAAAAGGATTAGACAAATTTAAGTGTTTATGACAGACTGTGGTGAATATGTAGAAATACTCGAATAATATTTTGTTTTAAATTTAAGTTAAGGATCAACAAATGTTGTGTTCTAAATATTCTTCATAAAGCGATACTACTAAAAGTATCTAATCATCGACTGAAATTGACAATTGGCCGAAACTGACTGGCAAGACATAATCAGTTTGGTATAAGGTAATAGGTTCCCAAACAGTTGAAAAACAAGATTCTACGACAAAAGGTCGAGGAGCAAAAGTTACAGTAGTCAGTCATGCAAAGGGTATGGAAAATGGAATACCAACGACAGTAGTGTCCAGAATTTAAGTGGAACTATTTGGATATCTTGGTATTATAAATGTTATAGAAAAGTTTTGAAAAAAATAAGAATTTGTTCTTCAATGCTCTATCGAGGTTATCATTCGACTCTAAAGGAACATATTGAAGTTTATAATACTTTAAGGATTGCGTGACTGTTTTGATGTTCGTCAATAGATAACTCATGTGACCGTCGAACCAGACATGCGTGCAATTGAATAATTTAACTTCGGTAATTATAGTTCTCGGATTTATACCATTCTATGTGTAATTATATATCGATTTAAGAAGGTCCAATATTACTAAAGTGTACATGTACTATTTCGGTAGCTAAGGTACATATATATTTAAATTATAGGTATATACCTAAATTAATACATTAATTTACAATATTTTGTATACAGTATTTTCTACGGTATGAAAATTAAAAAAAAACCTTTAAAATGTCATTGAATGGTTTCGAATATAATATTCAAATTTAATTTCTTAATTTATAGTTATGATTGATAACTTTTAACTCTTGGCAAGTGTTATTCCATAAAATAAATTATGATTTAAAATTTGTATTTTTTAAAAATTTTATAATTAATACCTGTATATTTATGAGAAAATCATAAGACATACGCAAAAAAATATAATACCTATCGAAACAGAGAAGAGGATACAAATATGAACAACATAAAATGAAGGTAATTTAAGTTTATACATTTTATACAATCAAATATTTTTAATATAAAAAATATTTATATAATATTTAGTGTATTTAAAATTGTATAGATTTAATAACGTTTGCTTCTTTGATTAAGTTCGATTAATGTCAAATCAACTAGCCTGGTCTTGACTAATTTTTTAATTTAAAATTTTTTGTTAATTTGTGTCCCTAACTATAAAATGAAAAATAACTAAAACTTTTTGTTAATTAAATATTTTATAATAATAAATATTAGATAATAAAATTAATTCGAAAACAAATACTTAAATATTAGTAAAAATAATACTAGTATATCACTAATTACAGTACAGATTGAAATAAAGTTTGTTGTTATGTGATGCCAAGAGAATTAATGATTTGTCTGTTATTATAAAACTACTCGGAACTGTATAGTGTATATTCTGTCATATTAAATTTACACATGTGGGTTTGAGAATGTTAATTTTCTTCTACAGTCAGGCATGTTTTATTGTTTTGAGATTGTATGTTAATAATACATATTGTAGTAATTTCAAAAAAGACAACTTTGAAAGTTAGATATTCTTGTGTTTGACATTATATTAAAGAAATTAGCTGAGCTTTTGTACACACCATTTGTGTTGAGGTCTTTCGCTGCACCATCTTCATTTAAAGTGCCACGTCGTTAAAACTTTTCAAATATATCTTTGGGGTAATTTCAAATTCGCGATTTGAGATTTTCTCTGAAATTAGCAACCGTTGTTTCTTCAACAGTAGTAAGTATGTTCACCAATTCTCTAGAAACATTTCGCTAATTTTGCGGTTATTATACCAAGCAGAAATAAATTACTATATATACTTTCAATAGACAATCTGTGAGAATACATAGTATTCTTGTCACTTGTCACTAGTTACTGTGCCATTAAGTAAGTATATAAATTTGTGACTTATATTATTTAAGTTTATGAAAGTACACAATTAACAGACACATAGAACATATATATTTTTTTAATATAGTATATTATATAAAATTTATACGAAATAATGTTTTATAATTAATTACTTAAAAAAGGACTATTACAAATTATTTAAATAATATGTTATTAATTTCAACTTGAAATTGCTCAAATAATTTTTTTTTCGAATATAAAATTATTTAATTAACTATTTTTTGAAACGATTCAAACAACTTTTACTTGAATAATGTGTTGTCTAGATGATTATTTAGATGATGGTTATTCAAATGATGGGCCTACAAATCTGGCGATAAATACATTTAGATATTATGTAAATCGCACGTAACAATTACTATACTGGTTTTTAAAGGAACGTTTTAAACAATTATTAGTCGCTCGTGGTCTTTTTGTTATCAACCTACTAATTTTCCCTTGCTTAACTTTGACCAGTCAATGAGAGGTAGTCGGGATCGCCTTTTCATTAATTGTCATAAAGCAATTAGGTGGTACCATTTCAATCATTTAGATAGCAGACAAGGGGGACAACTTCTCCTAGCTCGTCTGCAAGTTAAAAAAATTTCATATCCCATAATTCGGTTAACAATATGGTTATAATTTCTATAAAATGTATTATTAGATTCTTCTTCATAAAATTGACTAAAAACCGTATCCAACATGATATAAACTAAATAGTACGGCGGTGTAGTAGAAGTGCCTACACAATGTGCCGTTTGAAGTACGACGTAGATTATGGGAACGATGAAGAAATTATAAATTCTAACAAGTAGTATTTTAAACATTATATTTTAATATATCACCGCCACTATTAGACATATTAGCTTTCATGCGATAACTGAGAAGGTACGGAGAACCGTATGTGGTTGGTTTTTCGGTGAGTCAAAATTTAAAAGTAGAAAAATATAACTCCTTCATCCTCAAAACCAAGAAAACCCAAAAAAAAATTGACCGATTTTTCAACCTTCAACATAATATTTAACCATTTTTTTTATGTAGTAGCTCTACAGGTCAAACATTTTGCTAAACATAATAAAAACCCGAATGAATAGTAAAGTGGAAAACAACTTGGGGACGACCAATTCGGTAAACATCTTTATTGAAAATGCCATAAAAAAAGACAAGTCAAAATCTAAAGGAGTTCAAATAAATGGAAAACAAATATACAGCATACTACTCGCAGATGGAATAGCTATAGCTGTAGTAAAAATTGAACGCCATTCAGAAAATAGTATGTTAACAAACTTATCAATAATTTTTGGGAGAAGTTCAATGAAAAATAAATGCCAAAAAGACAAAAATTAAAAAATTAATATTAATCAAACATAACAATAAAATGAAAAGAGTTTTCAGTCTACAATGCACAGTTATAGAACAAGTCAAACCATTTTGTTATCTAGGTAATTATATTAAACGGTCAACGGGTATACAAAAAAAATAAGAATATCTTGGGCCAAATCTCTGAACAAGTAAGCGCATATCAATTAGACTAGGGAGTTAATTGTTTGTTTGGAGTACTATATGCAAGTGAGTCCTGGACTCTTAGTACTCTAGACACAAAGAGAATAGAAGTAATGGTGATGTGGACATGGCGCAAAATAATGAAGATTAGCTGGAAGGAAAGGAAATTAAACGAGGAAGTGCTAAAAACGGTGTAATAGCCAAAACAAGAAGAATCAGGTTTATTGGACACATTATGCGGCACAATAAATGTATTATAAATATAATGGAGAAGAAAATAAATGGCAAAAGAGGAAAAGGACAACCAAAAGATAGAAATCTGGGAAACACAAAGAAGCAATTATCTCTGCCAATTTATGAGACAGTGAAAATATTAGCCGGGAAAAGAGAGTAATGGTTGTAGCGACAAGACAAAGCCTTTAGATAATAAAAAAAAATATCAGAAATCGTACCTGTAAGGTACTTTAATGGGCAATCAATTTTACTCTTACCAAACAAAAAAAATTACACTGACCGTAGTGCAAATCTAGGTTGCTATGCGTGAGTGAATAAACAGTCAACAGGTATTTGAAAATGCTTTCATTATATTGTTAATTATGATTTATAGATAACTATGGCAATAAATATTATAATAGACAAACGACCAATCCTAATCGTATCCACTCTAATAAACAGAAGAATCTGTTTAAAATGAATTCCGGAATATCTAACGTTCTGTAAAATTCATACAAGCATTTCAAACCATATATGAATGCTGCCATACTGACCATATGGGACTTGTCACTTTTTAACACTAAAGTCTAAACATATCTTTTGGTGTTAACAGCAAAATCGCGTGGATACCTAATTTTGCCAAAAATATTGGACATGTGCCCTTCCTGAACTAAGCAATACAGTAGTGTACAGTTTTATTTTATATAATTGAATGTGACGGTTAAGTTTAATCGTGAAGAAAGTCTTAATATATTATTTTACTGTTTGTTTTTTAAAAAAAAAGTATGGCTTAATTTTTTTTCTGCTCGGATATAACCTAACGACTCAAATAAAACCCAAGAAAAATTAGTTCGAGAAATCCAATAAAAGAGAGA